CTGCACTCGTAGAACTTGTCCTTGCCGTAGATCTTCTGCAGCTCGCGGAAGGTCGGGCTGGCCATGAAGGGCTCCTCGCACTCCTCGTCCGCGCCCCCCCGCCAGGCGCCCCCGCGCGTGGCCCTGCCGATGCTCGGCCAGGGCGGCGCTCTTGTTGAAGGTCTCCCCGCACTCCTTACACTCAAAGCGCTTCCCTCCCACCTGCCTCCTGCGAACCTCGCTGACGGCCACGCTATGCAGAAAGGACTCGCCATACTCATACAGACTCTCTCTGGTGTGCATGATCTGATGCTCGACGAACTCGGAAATCACACTGAAAGGCCTCCCGCACTCATCACACACGTAGGGCATTGCCCCGAGGTCAAACGGCTGCGAGTCGGGGAGCGGGGGCGCACTCAGGCTGCTCATGCTCACCGATTTCCTCACCTCGCTACACTCAAAGGGCCTCTTCCTCGCACAGCCTTTCTGGTTGTGAACCGAGCCCTTCCCGTCTGTGTCAAAATGATAGCGCCTTTTTCTTTCAAGAACCCTCTTTCTGGAAACAAGGTTTGAGTTAAAATTAAAGCCTCCTCCCCCAAAGGCACTCCCTTCATAGCCCCTCTCCTGGATCACCGACTCCCTCTTGCTGAATGGAACGTCCTTCCAACCACTGTCTGCCCTTCTGGAGAACCTCTGCACCCGATCACCAGGCCCCCTTGCCCTGCCCGACTTGGGGCTGCGCGGAACGTCCCTGATGAACTTCTCCATGATCACCCCGTGGGAAGACTCATCTTCACAGATCCCCCGCCGGTGGGTTGACTTTTTGGTTTCAGGCATAGTTTTCAGACCTGAAAAGAAACCCAATGTAAGTGCAAAGCAACAGTGAGGCTCCATGACGGTGTGACTGCAGTGTGAAGTGTCTGGGTGTCTGCTCACCGGTGTGCGGCACTGTGTGTCGCACGCACACACACACGGGCTCACCTCGGCTGCTGCTTGGGTAGGCACTTCTCTTTGACCTCGAGGAATGGCCCTGGGTCATGTGTGAGTGGCCATCATCTTCAGCAAGCTGAACCCCTGTTCACAGGGAGAACACAACATCTCATACTGGGGCCACAATTCATCAACGTAACTGAGGCATGTCTGCCTTCTCTTAGCCCGAAGTGTGAGACAGCCCACGTCCAATGCTCCAGATGTCCTCTGTCTGCAGTCTCGCTTCCTAACTACCCAGGCCGCAGGCTCTCCTGACGTCACTGAGAAACCTGCACGAAGCCCTCTGAGCATCCCTGAATGCAGTGCACCCCTTTCAGTCCTCCCCTTCCTATGACTATCTTGTAAATCTAGATCCTCTTTTTCACTGGCCTTCATGGTTCTCTTGCCTCCTGACTGTCTTCCCTACCTGCTCTCCAAACATGGGAGCTCCTCAAGGCTCCGCTGCCTGACACGACACTCTTGCACAGCTCGCTCTCCTGCAGAGCCAGCTCGCTCTCCTGCAGAGCCAGCTGCCTCCTAGGACCTGAGCCAGATGTCCCCTGGGGAGTCCAAACAGGAACTCAAGACCCTGTTCTCAATGCGTAATTAAAGTCTCCATGGTCACCACTCTGGAAAGAGCAATTCTTGGGGCCAGGAATATGACCAAGACTCCTTCCCCACCCGCTGTGTCCTGTGTCCGCCTCCACTGTGTTTCCCTGTGCGTTCCCCCCACCCTGTACAATGCATTCTTCATCCAAAGCCAGACTGGTTTGTGAAAACACAGATCTTACTGTCTGTGCCTGGCCTGGCTGGGACTGGCCCAAGGCTCCCACCGCCCTCCACGCCCGAAAGCGCTCACACACACTGAGAGGACAGCTGGAAGCAGCTCACCCAGCGAGAGCAGCTTCCGGTAGTTCTCCATGTTGTCCTGGACCGGGTTCTGCGGCTGCCGGTCCTCGGCGAGGTCCACCACATCCTGGTACGACACTGCATCCTGCAACAGCAGATGCAGACCTCTCAGCGGAGCTGCTCCCGTGGGGCCCGCGGGTAGCACGGGAGCTACACACACACCGGGCGCAGGAAGCGCTCACGGCGCTGGAGGTTCCGAGTGACCCAGGCCAGGGTCTACCTGGGGCCTGCTTCGCATCCACCTCAGGGAAGCAACCAGAGGACGGTAAGCAGTAAAGTGGGTGCAGAGAGCCAGCACTACATGGGTTTGGCCGGGGGACAGCTCAGGGTGGGCGGGGCCACGGCTGGGCCTCAAGAGGCAGGAGGGCTCCGGCCTGCAGAGGTATCAGCCTCACATGGCGTGTGTGGCGCAGACGCTGGCCAGGAGTGCAACAAGGCCTCCCCCAGCCCCAGCCCGCGGTGTCCTGTGTCCGCCGCCGCTGTCCAACGCGGGGCTGCCGTGGGCTCAAGTCCCAGACAACCAAGAGTAACGTAAGGCCCTCCGTCACCTGACCCCCCTTAAAAGCCCCACCCCAGGAGCCACCAACAACACATCTCGGGGCCAGGGCTCTCCCGAAGGCCAGGGATGCCCTGACCTGCAGGCTTCGCCTGGCCAACTGCTCCTCTCCCTCAGATGTCATGCGTCACTGCCTTCAAGGTGTTTCCCTTCACGCTCAAGTCAAGCCTCTGTAACACTCCGCTCACCTGACTCCTCCCTCAGGCTGGGCTGAACGGCCAGGCGTGCGCACCTCCTCTATGGAGACCACCCGTGTGCCTGTTACAAGACTGGCAGCCCTGGGACCTACAGACTCAGTGCCCTGGCTCCTCCTTCCCTGGCCCCCCTCCTCACTGCCATGTCACAGGTGACCCTGCTCCTGGAGTCAGCTCAAACCCCATGTCCTTCCATGCACCCACCTCCGGGGCACACTGCCTTGAACGCACCTGCACAGCTGTGGCACCGACCGTGTGCCCACCGGGCACTGTGCTAGGCGCTTCGTACCTACACGGGAGAATCACTTTCTCCTCACTACAGCCTTGGGGAGGCGACCACCAAACCCATTTCACAGATGAGGAAACTGAGGCTGCACAGCCATCAGGTAGCAGAGCTGGGCTTCAAAGCCCACTCCTCTCAGCTCTCTCCTGCCAGTCTGCTCTGCAGTCTTCCCAGTGAGGCCAGAAAGACCTCCAGGATCCTGGTGCTTCCCTGCCCAGCAGGAAACAGCCCACGTGGCCGACCGACCACATGACACAAATGCCAAGTGGGAAAGCGGTCCTCTGACCCCGGCCGCTGGCCACCCCTGGGGAGGCCTGGGCTCCTCTCAGGGAGCAGCTGGGGCTGCCTCCCCAGCCCAGGTGGGGTTCTAGGGGCAGACGGCAGCATCCCCCTGAGAAAGGAAACATTGCCGCATGACAAGCACGGCCCCCGGACGAGAGGAAGCCCGAGCGTACCTGGGGCCCGGCTTCGCAGTCCAGCAGGGAGTCCCTGCGCCTGTGCTCTCCCTCCTCGGCAAGCGTGCTCTGCTCCGTCAGGGGCAGGGAGAGATCCCGCTGAGGAAACCCTGGGCAGAGAAAGGGTGTCGTGAGGCGGCGAGGCTGGGCCGACCTGGCACGCGTTGAGAGCAGTCAGGGTGGCTGACGTACTGCTTCTGGGGTTCCTGGCGTACGGCCAGCGGCCTCGAGACTCTAGGTCCCTGCTTCTGCCCCTGCGGTGCTCCCGGTCCCGCACCCGGTCCTGCTCCAGGTCCCAGTCCTGGTCTCGGTCTCGGTCCCAGTCCTGGTCCCAGTCCCGGTCTCGGTCACCTGAGAAAGCCAAACAAGTGCTTTAACACACATGTCCCCACCTCACGCGAACACAGGCCCCTTTGGGAGGGAAGGCTGCCCATGCTCTTCCCCCAAGAATGGACCCTGCGCTGAGGTTTCAAGGGCAGCTTGACACCCTGGACCTGGAGCACTGCCTCTGAGGCCTTGCCCAAGCAGGCCTTGCTTCAAGGTAGGTTCTGAAGCTTAGCTGAGGAGCGAGGTCCCCTCAGAAACTTCTGGTTTCCAGCTCCTACATGGTCAAGTCCACGCTCAGGAGAATGGACTTCAGACCCTCTACCGTCTGGCTTAGCCCAACCAATCTTAATGTGCACGTTACTCCAAAGAAACAAAACACATGCCCACCCCGAAAGCGGTGCTCCTGCAGAAAGTTCACTTTAACAAAACTTTAACAAGTACAGACACTTTAGTGGCAAAGAGGTGATGAACTCTGTCCCTCCTGGGGAGGCTGTGGGCACAGCCTGAGACAGCTGACTGCAGGTTTCAAGTGGCTTTAAATATTTTCTCTCATCATTAAAAATAAGACGTATTCCACTCTGTACACGTGTCTGCTCTGACGTCAAATGTCTCATTACATCATCCCTTAATGCACATCACCCTCAGGTCTGTGCCAGGGAAGGCGGAACAGTGTCCGCACGCATGCATCTCTGCAGGAGGCAGCCCCGCAGGGAGAGCGGGCACCAGCCAGGCCCGGCCCAAGCAGGCTACTCACTGCGGAAGGAGTAGGCAGCGCGGGGCGGCGACTCTGCTGTATTCCGGCTCATGCTGCCGTCACTGTGGACATCACTGCTGCTGTCATCTGAGAGGACACAGACATCGACTGAACACCTGTGTCCCCTCAACGGGCTCGAGTGGGGTCCACCCACACCGCCCCCGCCGGTCCCGCAGCTGCATCCCACCTCCACTCCACGCTGGGAGTCCAACGCTGGTCCCTCCCTCCCAGCCACTGCTGGGCGGGGACACGCTGCGACCACCCCTCCCACCCCACCTCTGGACGCAGATCCCATGAAAGCTCTGGTCCACTGTCCTGGCTAGCGGGAAGGGGCACCTGGCATCCCGCGGCGGGGGCCGGCACACTCACAAGCTGTTCCAGGATGCCCTGACAGAAGAAGAGTCGGGCCCAGCCCATCAGTGGCTGCGGCTTCCGTCTCACCCTCACCTTCCGGCTCGTACATCTCCTTGTAATTTTCCAGCAGAGAGACGAGCTTCTCGCAGTTCTCCGGCTTTTTTGCCCGCACCCAAGGCTTGATCTTTTCTGGAAGGATGGTCAGGTACTGCTCAAGGACCAGGAGCTCGATAATCTCCTCCTTGGTGCGAGTCTCCGGCTGCAACCAATCGAGGCAGAGGTTTCGGAGTTTGAGCAGGGTCTTCCGAGGCCCAGCAAACTCCACGTAGAGGAAGTTCCGAAACCTCTGATGAAAGAACTCAGAGTCAGCAGCGCCTTCTCCTAGGGCGGCGTCCGGCTCCCCAGACAAGGCGCCGTTCAGCCCACGCAGGTCTGGGGCCCAGGACCTCCTGGGCTTGGTGGTGGACAAGTATTTTGGAGGCAGCATTTTTCTAAGGAAAATTCTCCCTGGAGGAACCAAATATGAGTCAACAGGAAAGATGTGGCAGTCTGGGACAGCCAGTACTCAGGGACCTGTGGATTGTAAGGAGAGGTACACATGTCCCAGAAGTCGAGGACCAGGCAGCAGTGTGGGGCTGCTCCACACGGGGCAGCAACAGCGCTCTGCGAGCAGGCCAAGGGCGGGGGAGACGCGTGAACCCCACCACCACAGACACATGCACGGGGGTTACAAGCACCACACAGACCCGCGTGAGGAATGCGCTCTGCCGCTAACCGGGTTTGTGACCCCGGGCAACAGTCAACGTCCTGCAGTCTGTCCCTACCTCTGCAAAACGGAAACAACACCCCCTCTAGAACCGTGAGGCTTTAATAAGCTGATATACCTAAAAGGCCTAACTACCCAGTGCATGGCCACAGGAGAAGAGCCCAGGGCACTGGCCATTACTAGAACGGGATGTCCATTTTTAACTTGGCAAAAATGGAAAGAGGGCAGAGGGGTGCCGGGCCAACCCTGCCATTTCTGAGCATTTCTTCCCCTAACACAACTGTTAAAATAGTATACAGCAGTGGAAGATAGAGCCACACAAAAGTGTTAAAAGTGCTCAGCTCTGGGTAATGTCATTCTAAGCGCCCGCATTAATTTCTCTGCACCTGCATTGCTGTATGAACTGTGGCTGGTTAAGTTAAAACCTATGAAACTGAAGTTCAGCACCTCAGCGGCACGAGTCACATTCCAAGGGCCAGGGGCTACCCTCCTGGACAGTACAGAACGTCCCCCTCATCAGGAAAGTTCTACGGGTCAGAGTGGCTGGACAGCTAACACCACGCCCTCAGGACCTTTGCTGACGCTCACTCCCTCTGTTGGTGTGCGAGCACTTAGCGCATTTAGGTTCAAACAGTGAACCTGCCTGAGCCCCCACATAAAAGCTGGTGAAGGGCAGAGACTGACCTTGCCATCACCAAGCCCCAGGGCCTGACACAAAGTCACGCAGCAACACCGACAGAGCGTGTGGAAAACAACAAGGGCGAACCCACTTGAGAGCTGGTTTTGGGCACGGCCGTGCACTCTCACCACCCGAACGCAGGAGCACAGTGTCGTCTCTGGGGAGGGGCCGCCAGGCTCCCTCGGCCCTGTGCCCTGGGACGCACCCTGGCGTGCAGCGGCCCTTGCCTGCCCCTGCCCGCTGTCCCCCCCCCAACCGCCGTGCCCTGACAACCACGCTGGTGGGGGCACGGGAAGCTCCTACAACAGGGCTAAATCCACAGAAGCCTACACAGGTGACAAACACCTGCTACTCCCGGAGAGAATGGGGCTAAGTGAACTCGGGCCTCCTTACACTGCCCCCCGCACAGCCTTCCGCCTTAATCAATCTTGTCAGGGACCCAGGGTGTCTCTAAAGAACCAGCTTTCTACTCGGACAGTCCTTGTATCACTTCCTTAGCTGTCCTTATTAGCTGCCCCCTCTCTTTTTAAGAAAACTTTTTAGACTGAGTATAAAAGCTGATTTTCCATCGTTTTCTCTTTAACGTAACCAATTAAGGCCACCTGTTTCCCTCCACCTAAACCATCTTACTTGCATGTAGGTTTTACAATGCAGGCTTTTTACTAGCGGTCAGCAACAGCTGGTGCAAGAAAGTAGGCAAACGTGGGAAAGAAATCTAGGTTTGGGTGAATGAACTTACCTGACAGTTTTGTACTTCTGGCTTTACTTCCAGAGAAGAACAAAACCACATGCAGCAAAAATTCTTTTTTGTTTTAAAAGGAAAACCAGTAAGTTTTAAAAAAAATTTTTTTGTTTAACGTCTAAAGAGAAAACAAAAGGTGTTTCATTATTCAGTCTTAAAGCAGCCATCATCATTTGGGCATAAATGTGGAAAACTCCCTCCTCAGTGATGGGTTTCCACTCCGCTCCCTGCAAACAGCCCTCCCCTGCCTCCCCCCTGGGCCTCCAGGGCTTCAGCACTAACCAACTCAAACACACCTCCATCACCTTGACCTTGGCACCTCTGCGGCTCCCCACTCCTGGCCTGCCCTGCCCTCTCAGACAACAGAGAGGACACTAGGTAAAACCCTGTCAGGCACAAGGGTTCCAAAGCAGGGGAAGGAAAACGGCAAGCGTCCGAGCTCTGGAGAACTGGTGTGACATTCTGGACAAGAGAACAGTCAATTTTACCAAGGACCTGGCGAAGAGGGACTGCCCTGACACAAGCATGGTCCTCTAAGGCCAGCATGCCCGCACAGTAAGGGGTGCAGAGTGCTAAGCCTGCCCTGTGGCATCAGACTCAAGAGGAGACTCCGGCCCCTACCCCTGTCTGACAGCAGCCCCACCTCTCAGTGGCCACAGGACACCCTTTGATAGCAAATCACCTGTTTGGGAATGGGGTCCTTTCTGGAACTTCAGAACAGGCAGCTATCCACAGGAAGAGAGTCCAAATGCAGGCACCTGCAGATATTTTAAAGAAAGAAATACAAGGACAAATAAACAGAATGGCAGGAATGTAAAGAGTGTCAGGAAACACTCATTCTCCAAATGGCTGTGGACTGAGACAGCATCAGGGGTGAGGCCTTATATATCACCTTCAAGAAAAGGCCAATCCCATGTCATACGAACCAGCCAGAAACAGAAAATAGAAAGCTTTCAAATTTTCTTGATGAAACCAGAGTAATTCAGAAAACCAAGACAGCACTAACAAACTGCAGACCACACTCATCTATGAGAGCAGGTGCAAACATCTTTACACTGTTACTACCGCACATCAACCTACAGAGCGCCTGCCAGCTCCGGGGGTGGGGAGGCCAACGGGAGGCACAAGGAGAGGTACAGAACGATCACTCTGTTGTAAGACTGTCCACTCAGACACTGCAAATCAAAGAAAACAGACCTTATAATAATTTAATAAGAAACCCACTGATAACAGACTATCTAATCTAAGTATGTGTCAATAACAAGCTTGAAAAAAACAGAAAAAATTCCATTATAAAAATAAAAAAAGATTTAATGAGAGAAAATGGCACCCACAGGAATAAAATTATACACCACACTGCAACAGAAAAGGCAGAACCTGGAGAGATACAGGGTAGTCACAGGAGATGCACGGCTCCAGCATACTAAGGCTCTAAACACTGCCCCAAGTTAACCTATACAATTCTAACAGAATTTCAAAGAGTATTAATGTTGGGGAAGTTGACATGGTTCTAAGCTGACCTCGAAGAATTTCATTTGGATCAACATTTTGAAAGTTCATACACCAAAAGGTCAACAAACCATACACAAAAAGAAATATTTTAATATAATCTCAGGGCTAAAGAAATTCTTTTCTATTGTGGTGCCTAAAGGCAGAAAGACGACATGAAAATAACAAGTGATGCTCTTGTCTAGATCATCAAAGCCAAAGTAATAAAGCAACAATTAGAAAACACCTGCACCTTATGATAAAAGACTGACGCTTCCAAGAACCACAGCACGTTTACTACATGTACATAATTAAGTACTCAGCAGTCTACGAAAAGCGGCACTTAAAAAGCAGGGAATGTGTGGATTGCTTCAGTAAATAACACCAGTAACGGGAAAACCAGCCAATCATTCACTTGGGGGAAAAAGGGGCATATCATGCACGAAAATGCTAAAACTAAAATCAAAATAAAATGAACAAAAGATTAATTCTGATGACTCTGGAGCAGGGATAGGGTCTTCTAACCTGATAATAAAATTAGGAGATATTAGGGGCAACTTTGACTTTGTATACATACTTCTCTACCACATTAATTTTTTTTCCCAATAGGCATGTATTTGAAGCATAAAGGAGACGATTCTACATAAGAACTGTAGGCTTCAAAAAATCTGTTAGAAAATCAACAATTTTTCTAAGAAAATATAAATATTTGGCAAGCCTATCTCAGGAAGCAGAGGACAATCCAGGGAAGAAATTTAAAAAGATGAAATGATTGAAGGAGTTAACTTCCCATAAAATTTCAACGAGCAAAGTATTTACCATGCTATAAAAACCCTTTCAGAGCGCAGGAAGGAGATGGAGGACTTCCTGTTTGTCAATCACGTGGCCATTTGAATAACCATGAGTACCCCTGCCACAAGGCTGAAGCTGGCTTCTATGCCGGAAACTCACTCACTCTTCTCGAGAAATTCAGGACTACACAAATATGATCTTTGTTAAACATGCTCAGGATTTTCTGACCAGGCCAAGAAAACAGCCCTTGGTCAGCAAGGGCGTTGAAAAAGGAAAGACTTTTAACAGGAAACCCTTAAAAAGAAAAGAAAAGAAAAAATCAGGCCCTACCTACTCCTTTCCCGAAATGGCAGAGAAAACTCATTTGAGAGTAAGAAAGAATAGAATAATCATAAAGACAGACAACACATATGTCCGTGTGAAGAGAACACTGGCATATGCATAGACTGCTTGTGGCAATGCGAATTTTATGAAGGGCAATTTGGCTCCTTATCAAAATAAAAAATGTATACACCCTGTCCTATCAGTTCTACTTCTACGACTCTGTCTCAGAGATACATGAAGACATGCGTACAAGAACACACACATAATGGACAGAATTAGGATTCTGAAACCCTTTAAGATAACGAGGCAACTGTAAATAAATGGACATGAGATGCTCTCCAGGGTAGTTAAGCACAGAATGGGACACGTGTATAGTATTGTTCTTTTTTCACTGAAGTGCAGTCATTTACAATGTAGTGCTAATTTCTGATGTGTAGCAGAGCTATCCAGCTTTTTGCATACACTCCTTTTCGTGTTCTCATTATAGGCTATCACAAGGTACTGAATATAGTTCCCTGTGCTATGTGTACAGCATTCTAAGCAACCGTAAAAACAGGTGCATTTACTTAAACAGGTGGTTTCTGGAAGGCTATATGAGAAGAGGCTATTGATAGTGACGAACAGTGACTGCCTCTGGAGAAGGGAGCCGGAGGCCAGCCAAGGGTAACTTACTTTTTCCCTGCATACTTACTTTCTCCTTCTGCCTTTTGTGTTTATTTATTTATTTATTTTTACCATGAGTATGTATCACCTAGTTAAAAAAGCAAATTCAAAGTTAAAACAAAACACGAAGCAAAGGCACGAGTGGAGGCCTTTAGAGACTGCGCTACCCAGTCGCTACCCAGAGACTGAGCGGGTGCAGGCACGCTAATATCCTAAAGCTGAGGGTCTCCTCCCTGCCCCGCCCGCCAGCCCCTGACTTGGCCCAAGGCCACACCCTAAACTGGCCATCTGCAGATATGACAAGCAATTTGAAAACCCCAAAGAATCAATCTGAAACTTCTCGAACCCAAGAAATACTCAGAGAAATTGCAGCTGCAAGTTGAAATACCCTAGAACTCCAGCAACTATTGGCAGAGAAATGCAATGTCATTCCTTGTCCCAGCAACTCCACTTCTGAACTCTAACTGATAAGACCCATTTGCCCATGAGCACAAGACACCGTTCACAGGTGCATTCACAGAAGCACTGTCTACAGCAGCAAAGAACAAAAGAACAAGGTCAGTCAGGAGAGTGCTTGAGCAGAATTCCGACAGTAGAGACCACTGACACACCACCACGCAGCAGATGTGAAAATAAAGATGGGTACAAGTTTTGTGTGCTATAAACACCAGCCAAAATAAAAACAAACCAGAAAAAGGGGGGGGAATATCTTGCAACACAGATGACAACATTTGAAATGTAAAAGGCTCTTAGAAAGCAGTAAGAAAAAAGTGGCTCAACATGAATATAAAGAACATGAATACACAGTTCATAAAATCAGTGATAAGAGCCAACATCCACATCAGAAATCAAAAAAATGTACAATATTACAGTGAATACTTTTTTGGCCTACCAAGTGGGCAGCTACTTCAAAAATAAAAATCAGTGGTGGTGAGAGGCTGGCTGGTACAAATGTGAACCCTATTTCTGGATGTTAATTCGGCATATATTTTTAAAACATTAAAAATGCCTATTCCTTTTGAACCAGCAAGTCTCCACTTACAGGCAAAGGTAGTCAAGCATGTAAAGTACGAGGCAAAATAAAAAGCTAAAAAGTCAGCTGCCCACCACAATTGAGTCCTTGAATGCACCTCTAATTTCCGGTTTGTAAAAGGTAAAATGAAAATGAAAAAGCTGCGGCAGTAAGTGATGGCAGGTGACACCACTTCACCGCGGAGTACATGCCTGCTGATGTGCTGTTATATAATGGCTGTCCTAGAGGCAAACTCAGGGACACTGGTCACCCTTCCACGGGGTGACCTGACTGGTTACCAGGTGGGCCTCCTGAGCGGAGCTTAGGTGCCCTCCTGGCCAAGTGACCCAACCCTCACCCCTGACTCACTCTGTCCTCTGCCCGCTGCCAGAAGGGCAACCAAGGGTCAGGCCAGGTGCTGAGTCAGTACCTGCCAGGGCCCCATACTCACCTCACCCTTGGGAAGACCCAGCTCCCAGGTGAACTCCTCCAGTAACAGTGCCTCCGGCCAATCAAAAGCAGAACTGCTCTACCCACCTCGCCCCCACTCCCCCAGGCCAGCGGCTGCCTCCATGGCAACAGCCACGCCCACCACTGAAGGAAATAGAAGATCCCTGTTTGGAAGTGGCTGGAGTTGAGGGGAGCAGCAGGAAGGCGTCCTCTGTGGGCTCAGGCTGGCCTGATGCCCAAAGGCGGCGTGGAGGCCAGGGGAAGCCGGCCCACCACAGCGCCCACACACTGCTGGGGCGTGCCAGCCCAGAAGAGTGGGCGCCCTTCTCACCAGTCTGTTTACCCTCAGGGACTGGCCCACGGAGGTGCTCGATAAACACTGAGGTGCA